TGGGAAATGGAAAACCCAGATCCCTGCTCATGAGGTTCAATAAGGAGAAGTGCAAAGTCCTGCACTGGGGGCGGAACAGTTCCATTCACCAATACAGGCTGGGGACCAACCGGCTAAGCAGCAGCTCTGCAGAAAAGGACCTGGGGTTACAGTGGACAATAACCTAAATATGAGCCAGCAGTGTGCCCTTGTTGTGAAGAAGACTGATAGCATACTGGGCTGCTTAGCATACTTAGCGTACTTAGCATGCTTAGTAGGAGTGTTGCCAGGGCGGAACAGTTCCATTCACCAATACAGGCTGGGGACCAACCGGCTAAGCAGCAGCTCTGCAGAAAAGGACCTGGGGTTACAGTGGACAATAACCTAAATATGAGCCAGCAGTGTGCCCTTGTTGTGAAGAAGACTGATAGCATACTGGGCTGCTTAGCATACTTAGCGTACTTAGCATGCTTAGTAGGAGTGTTGCCAGCAGATTGAGGGAAGTGATTATTCACCTCTATTTGGCACAGGTGAGGCCACATCTGGACTACTGTGTCCCGTTTTGCCCCCCAATACAGAAAGGATGTGGACAAATTGGAGAGAGTCCAGCAGAGGGCAACAAAAAAAGTTAGGGGGCTAGGGAACATGATTTGTGAGGAGAGGCTGAAGGAACTGGGCTTATTTAGTCTGGAGAAGAGAAGACTAAGAGGGGATTTAGTAACAAATTCAGCTACCTGAAAGGTGGTTCCAAAGAGCTGAACTGTTCTCAGTGATGGCAGATGGCAGAACAAGGAGCAGTGGTTTTAAGTTGCAGCAAGGGAAGTTTAAGTTAGATATTAGGAAAAACTCTCCCCTGAGGAGGGTAGTAAGGCACTGGAACAGGTTACACAGAGAGGTTGTGAGATCTGCATCCTTGGAGGTTTTTAAGATCTGGCCAGATAAAGCCTTGGCTGGGATGATCTAGTTGGGGCTGGTCCTGCTTTGAGAAGGGGGTTGGACTAGATCACCACCTGAGGTCCTTTCCAACCTTAATTTTCAATGATTTTACATAAAGCATGAGCAAGAGTTCTTTTGGCTTTTAGTATGTCAAAATTAGTTAACGAGATTTGCTTATTACTTAAATTATTAAGAATTACTAGATACAGGCTTTAGCTCAGCTTTTAGAATTTATAAGGCAAAGAATCCATGAGAGAGGCAAGATGTGCTCAGAGTTTTGTTATGCTTCTTCAAGCTAAAGGAATGTAGATAAGGAAAGAAGAATTGCACTATGATATCCAAGGTCTTTGTCTAAAGTGACAACAGGCTTGTATGTAAGAAGCTGCTACTTTGTGCAGAAACCTTGATACATTGGCTTTAAGGGGAGAATGATATCAAAAGAATCTAGCCAAAGGGATACCATTTAGGGCCCAGGCCACGTTTCCTGTGCTGAATGGGAAAAGCAAGGTGCTTGTGAAAGAGGATACAAAAAGGTAGGAATAAGTTTGTGGGCAGTGGTGATTATCTGGAAAGATAAGAGTAATGAAAAGATCATCCGAATGCTGGTTCTGACCAGTTTCTGGCGGGAAGGCAGAAAGCCTGGTAAAAGGTCATACAATCAGAAATGTAGGGGGTTAATTCATAGATTTCATAGACATTAGGGCTGGAAGGAACCTTGGGAGATCATCGAGTCCAGCCCCCTGCCCAAAGAGCAGGAAGTCAGCTGGGGTCAAAATATTATGCACATCTCTCCTCTAGACCCTCTCAAGCTTCTCCACACCCTTCTTGAATTGTGGAACCTAGAATTGGATGCAGTACATTGGATGTAAGAAAGAGAGGTTCTTTGCTATGGCCAGTAAATTTGTGATTGAGCTGCTCAGCAGAAATCTGCTGTTTCCATGACCCTATTGCACCTGGTCAGTTTTTTCAATGGCTTATTGTGGGGGATCTGCCATAATGTTGCAGCTGTGCAGTATAAACTAGCCTGCATAGCTGGCCTCTGTTAAAAGTTAGGGGGGATGCCATGAGAACCAGTTTGCTTGACTATGGATTTTAGTAAAATAAGTTTCAATTAAATGTCTGACTGGATCTAGTTACTTCCTTGCCCTCTAGACATAGCAGCATCAGCATGAGTAGCTGAGAACTTGCCCCTGAGGTCTTAGGCAGACTTACGCAACTCACGCTGCAGACTTAGCTCCTTTTCTGGCTTGTTCACCTGTGTTGATGCAAGCTTCAGTCATGTTTTGTGTTCCCAATGTACACAACCCCTGAGTGTGCGGGGGGTGGACTGTAGCTCGTACACCGAGTTCGACTAAGACCTGAGCAGCTGAGCATACACATAGAAGCTTACCTTTGAACCTCTTATTTCCAGGTCAGGACTTTAGACTGCATAGGAGGTAGAGGCTGTGCTGTTCCAATAGACAAGGCCTAGTTAATGCCTAGCAGTCACAAAGAGAAGAAAAAGAGATGAGGCTTTTTCATAAAATGTTTTTCTATTCTATGCATGTCTACAACCTTTACCCCTTTTGATTCTATTGCATTTGACTGTGCTCCACGGAGCTGCACTTTTGTGTATAGCTGAAGTCACTGCCAAAAGTAATTGATTTGGGTCACAAGGTAAACTTTTATTCTTCTTCTCGGATGGACCAGGTGGAGGGCTCACATTTTATTCTTCTCCCTACGAGAACTGACTAGGGTGGCTAGTAGGGGTGTGCAAAATTTCACGAGCAGTTTCATTTCGACTTGTTTCGAGCTCAAAACAGCAAAATCGAAATTAAACAGAAAGCTTCGGAACAGCCTTGAAACAAAATGAGGCACGTCGAAACGTTTTGAAATTTTTGAAACATTTTGACTTTTGAAGCTCTAGCTGGGCTTGCCTGCGGGGAAACAGAAACTAAAGTAAGGGGGGGGAGGGGGAAGGGGGCTGGCCAGCTACGCACTCATTATTGACTGTGTAGCTGGCCAGTGACTGTCACCCTTCCCTGAGGTCTCTTCCAATCCCAGTGTTCTAGGGGAGGGATGGAAAAACTGCATAAAAGGCAGCATTGTTTGAACTGCCCTTTCTGCCTTGGTGTCAGTTGAGTGAGGGTGCACCATAACACACGCACAGTGTCACCCACCCATGTCACGAGCTTTGCCTGTCAGCAGCTAGAGGTGCAGGGCCCCAGAACCCACACTCCCCCTGCACCTATCTCCTCGACAGCTGGCAGGCTTCATGGCCACAGCAGGGCCGAGCAGGCCTGCAGCTTTCACCCCCCTTTGCCCCAAGACAGACACAGTTGCACAAGTACCCATGACACAAATTTTGCCTGTCAACAGCTAGAGGTGCAGGGCCCCAGAACCCCTGCACCCATCTCCTTGAAAGCTGGCAGGCTTTGTGGCCTCAGCAGGGGCTAGCAGTCCTGCAGCTTTCACCCTGCTGCACCTTAACACACGGTCACCCATGTCCCGAGTTTTGCTTGTCTGCAGCTTGAGGTGCAGTTTTCCCCAAATCCCTGCAGCTATCTCCTTGAAACTTGGCAGGCTTTGTTGCCTTATCAGGGGCTAGCATGCCTGCAGTTTTGACCCCGCTGTGGCTTAACACATACATGTGACATGAGTTTTGCTTTCAAGAATTTGAGGTGCAGTTTCCCTGAAATCCCTGCACCTATCTCCTTGAAACTTGGCAGGCTTCATGCCCTCAGAAGGGACTACCGCTCCTGCAAGTTTCATTCAAATCGGGCCAGAAATGACAAAGTTATAGGCTGTTTTGAGCTTCCCCATTATCTCTTATGGGCGAAACACTGAAACAGCGAAACTGTTTGACAAAACGAAACGGAACAGCGGTTTCGAGTAGAAACGAAACACTGTTCTGTCAAAACGTTGAAACGGAACAGTGCCATTTTGCACAGCCCTAGTGGCTAGGCTGGAGCTTAAAAGTGACATGATGAAGGAAGAGAAACTGGGCCGAGTGGTGGATGGAGGTTGTTCATGGTTATAAAACCAGGAAATCAATAAAGAGGAGGTAGTTTGGTCAGATTACTTAACATTTGTTCTTTTGTTTCATGTCTATTTAATGAAGCTGGTTGAAATAGAAAAGGAAAAATATTGACAGTCCCCACTCCCAGCTCACTCTATTTAGTGACTGACATCTCGGAGAGAGGATTTTTATTGTCGTGGCTGCTGCTGCTGCTTGAAAATTCACTTACTACAACCCTTGAATTTAAAGCATAAGAGGTCAAAAAATCATCCAGTACAAGTAGGGAAGGCAAGAGATGACATTCCTTATGTTTTTATATAAGGTAAAATGCTAGCATAAAACTCCTTCCACCATTTTCAGGCCTCTTATACATGAGGATAAACTGAATCTCCACTTCCCCTTCTCCCCCCACCCCGCTTTGAAATTCCAGTTTTGTAAACTAAATCCTTTTACAGCTTACCTTAAAACAAAGGGCAGTGTAATTGAAATACCCATGTTCTATAGAGCAGTGTTTCTCAACCCATGGGTCGCAAGAACATTTAAAAACAACTTAACATGCTCCTTGCTAGGATCATCTGACCCCAGCAGTCTTTCCTGCCCAAGTGCAGGAGGGCTGGACCTGATGATCTCATGAGGTTCCTTCCAGCCCCTAACATCTATGAATCTATGAAAGGGTTGCAAACAAACTTTAAAAATGGATTCTCCTTTAAAGGAGAAAAAATGGGAAATGGTGACTTTTTCCTTGCAGGCTGACAGAGTTCCAGCCTGCAAGGGGCTGCTTGGGGCCCCTACATGCCCTACACATTCCCCCCTGCCCCATATGGAGGGGCTGGGGGTAGGAGGCAGAAGGTTGGGAGTGATGGGCACTGGGTCAGAACTGGCCACAAATTGGTCAAAAAAGGTTGAGAACCACTGCTATAAAGCATGTTCTATGGCGATTTAAGGGCATGAGCACACATATTACAACAGGTAAACAAGGCTGCAGAATCACAGTGCATCATCTGCCTTCTAGCAAATGAAAACTAACCCATGAGAGCTTATTCCTACAGAAGAGCGCCAGGCTGCTGCAGGTTAGCTTTCATTTATGGTGGGGTGAGAATGTGTATACAGCAGTTATTGCAAAGTAGCTGATTCTCTATAAATCTCCACCCTTGTTTATCTCAGGCTAACTTGTGTGTGCTCAGAGCCGTCCCAAGGGGTGTGCGGGGCCCAGGGCATATCAAACTGTGTGAGGCTGGGGGCTGGCGAGCGGCTGGAGCGGAGGGAGGGCAGGTGGCAAGCAGCCGGAGCGCAGAACCAGTGGCATGCAGCGAGGCCTGTACAGCACTGTCCATGGGGCCCCCCAAAGTGCGGGGCCCTGAGTGGTTGCTCTGATTTGCAGCTCTGTAGGGATGGCCCTGTGTGTGCTTGTGGCCTGAGAAATAAAACAGCTCTTTGGCTTGCTGCAGGAAAGGTTTTTTCTGGTTGATGGCAGTGACTTCTGGCATGGGTTAGGCACAGTTTCAGGGGAAAATAGATTTTCTGAGTAAAAAGTCCTCAGTCTCCAAAATCCTACAAAAGAAACACTTTATGTGCCTCAACCACCAGTTGCGTTGTGGTTCTGTGAAAGATGTAAGGTTTGTTTTTATATTTTTCTTATAGCTTATCAAACTTCTCAGTTCTTCAGAGGAATACAAAAAAATCCAGGCTGACTTTCAGCGCACAATGCCCAAAACTGCCATTCTGTGCATCCAGAGAATCCAGAACCCATCTCTCTGGGAAATGTATCAATGGTACGTACAAAATACTGCCCAAGTAGGTTTGTGTGGTGGATTTTTTTCATTGCTGTTATGACTAATTCCTATGTACATTGCAATTATGCAGCTAAATATGTCTGCATTTTTTAATTTGCTGGACTGCTCAGTTTAACTGCCTTGCTGCAGTCAGTATCTAAATGAAGAGTAGTTGGCTGAAGTAGGCAAGATGGAAGTGTTCTGATATTCAGAGGCCTTTGGGTTGTTGCCTAGTTCCTGACAGAGAACGCATCTCCCTGTAGCCTTGGTGTCCCATGATAGCTGCATTCCACAGGAATTATGAAGCACTGAAGCAATAACGGAGATGTGCAAGTTAAAATGCCATTACTTGCATGGGAACTGAACCCCGATTAGAATGACCACCAGCCTCCAGGAGCTCAGAGCAAAATGCAACTCATTTTTATGGCATTTCCTTCAAAAATGGATATATGTGATCAGACACATTTAAAAAAAATCTAGCTATTTCTCCTTCAGACTTGCGTAGGAGGAAATCAATTCTATTCTTAGATGTTTGGGAGGTACTGGATGGAATGGCAGTCATATATGGGTAAATCTGAGTACGAGCCTTTTGAAAAGCATTCATTTGGATAGTTGCTTAATAAAATAAAGTATATTAAACTTTTTAACAACATTTGATTGCTTTGCATCAGTGGGCACAAACAGCCTCTGATCTTAGTGGAACCTGTTTGGCTAAAATAATCTGACTTTCCACTATAGCACCATGACAGTGCTGCTCGTTACAGGCAGAAAGAACAAATGCACAAAAGGAACGCAGGGAAAGCTGTGGCCGAGAAGCTCTTATTTCATGGGACCAGTAAACAGTACGTTGATGCTATTTGCCAGCAGAACTTTGACTGGAGGGTCTGTGGCCTTAATGGTACAGTCTATGGCAAAGGTAATTCCCAAGTTTATTCTTCTGTTAACCTTGGCTTGAAGAAAACTTTCTTCAGAAAAACAGTAGCTACAGCAAAAATGTAAACTCGAGGATGTCAGGGGAAAAAGACACTCACCTGGGTTAAGTGTTACAGGGAAAGCTTCCTGTTGCTTGAGCTGCTGCCACCCTTCCACAAATTAGCTGTGGAGAACAGCGTATGGATGGGCAGGGGGTTGGGGAGCACTCGGAACAGTCATTTTGCATGACACACAAGACAGCATCTGAAAAGAAACTGGTCAGTATCTTCTGGGTGCAGCATTGGCACTCTTCCCTCTACACCAGAGGTATAAAACTCATTTGGCCCCATGGGCTGAATTAGGGAACTGGGGTTAGTTTGTGAGATGGATTGGGCCCACAAACCAACCCTGTGCTGGATCCAGCCCACAGAGCTGGGCTGGTGGAGGCACTGCATGTAGCACAAGCCATGGACTGGCTGCATGCTTTTTGCAGCATGCGTGCAGGCTCCAAGCCTGTGTGCTGTTTGCAGCATGCGTGCAGGCTCCAGGCCTGTGTACTGTATGCAGCATGGATTGCTTTTGTGTGCAGCATGTGGGGCCAATCTGGAGCACATGCTAAACACAGCATATGGAGCCAGTCTAGGACATGCACTGCATGCGGCACCCATGCTTGACCAGCTGCGTTCACTAGATCTGGCATGCATGGCCAGTCAGTGGGTCTGATACAGACTGGCCATGGATCCAGCATATAGGGCCAGTCCAGAGTGGGTACCACATGCAGCATGTGCCCCAGACCAGCCTTGCGCTGTGTGCAGCCCATGCCAGACAGGTTTCACCTGCTTCATGCAGCACGCAGGGGTGGGGGCAGTGCATGCTGCATACAGCAGGCTGCACTACAGGTTGAATCCGGCCCACAAGCCATATCTTTGACATCTCTTGTCCTACACTATTTGTGAGGTCACTGAACAGTTGCTTGAGAGAGAGCATGTTGTGCTGTTGAGAAGTATGGAAGTGAGAGGAGTTAGGAAAAGCATGGAAAAAGTCTTGCATTGCCATTTGTCCTTTGGATAGGGTTGAGCCCAGTGCAGACCACAGATTACTCAGCATTCACTTAAGGAAGCCATCACCTCCCATGTCAACACCATGTGCAGCCTGTCTTTCCTGAACCACAAGAGAAAGTGATAATGTGTTTTGTGTCTGATGCCTTGAAAGCAACTAGCCCCGAGTGTTTCTCCCCTCTCTGGAAATGATCTCTCATGCCTTACTCCTTTTTACTTTTTAATGCAAGAAACTACCACATGAAGGGGAACAAAATAGACTAATTTTTTTTTAAAACAAGTAATGTAGCTGATCAGAGCTCTCCCTCCCCACTCTCTGCCATTGGTTGTTTTGTATATTAGAACATTGTGGAAACAAAAGGTTTCTGTTACAAATCTCTAAAAGGTTACTCTCAGTAGAGTGGTGAGATGAGGAGGTGGAGATACATGGGCAGAAAGTATGCTTTTATAGAAAGAGAATGGAAAAATGCTCTGTTGTTACTGTCCTTCCTGTGTGGTGAAAGATCAAGTTGTGATCTTAGTTGATGACTGTATCAGAAAAGATGTACACCACGTTTGAGTGCCTTGAAAAGGCTATCTGCAAATTTCTTACCAGTAAACATTTTGCTGTTGTTTGTGTGTCCTCCTCCCCCATTTGAATTCCTAGCGCTTGTCTTGCAACAAGGCATCAGTCTAAACTAACTACACCTTTGCTTGTGTGTCTATTGCAGGAAGCTACTTTGCAAGGGATGCATCTTACTCTGATAACTATAGCAAGAGTGAGCACAACGTCAAGACAATGTTTCTGGCACGGGTGCTAGTGGGGGAGTTCACCTGTGGTAACTCTTCCTATCGTCTTCCTCCCCCCAAAAGCGGTCAAAACAGTTACTATGACAGCTGTGTGAATAGCACGAGTAACCCATCTATCTTTGTCATCTTTGAGAAGTACCAGATTTATCCTGAATATCTGATAGAATACACAGACCAGCCATTGGCAGCAAAGCCATTAAGTGTTTATTCATTCAATTCATATTTTCAGCAGAATTTGTTTAACTGAGGAGAGTGCCTTCTGTCAGAAGTGGGCTTGGTTGCATTACTAAGCATTAGGGCCTTGTTGCATGTTAATTTCAGGCAGCTCCCGGAGCTCTTAACCTCTGGATTGTCCTCACATTAACACCTCAAACTAGTTTTAAGGACGCTTTAAGCGGCTTAAAGATATGCCACTCTAGGGCAGGTTTCTCTTTCATCCACGTTAACCAGCTCATGTTCCCTTAATGTGTGGCCACTCCCTACAGGTGAACTACCCAAGTTACAGCCCTCCAGGATCACAAGATGCATTGTCTCCCCCCTACCCCCTATGTGGACAAACTTTCTCCCCCCTTGAACTCTTCTGCCCAGGGGTGCAAGCCTGCAGAGCTTGCCAGCTAGCCAGGTTGCAGGGCACGAAGGGGTCCAACTTCATTTTCCTGCCTCCACCCAACCCATCTCTCACATCCCCCACCTGCAGCAGAGATGGAAGCCTGTCCTGGTTCACCAGCCCTGTAGTGGCAACTCACAGCTGTAGCTCCTAGGCAGGCCCCTGCTCACCAGCCCTCTAGTGACCAGCTCAACATACAACATGTAATAAGACCCTTATTCTCTCCACGGTCTCCTAAGTAACTTACGGTACTTTATAACGTAAAGGACATTTTAAGAATTTGAAAAATGTATCTTAGTGGGGTTACTTCATTTTCTCTACTTAGTTTGGGGTTATAAATCTTCTTGGCATTCACATGATTCTTGTAAGGGGACATGAAGTAACAGAATAGCAGTTGGCTGTATGACTCTTAACATGACTTATTTTTAATGCTCTGTATTCATTTTTATTAATTCTCAGGAAGGGAAGTCAGATGTGTACTAAGCAGCAGGAGCAGAATTTGCACAAGCCATTTTTTGGCAAGACATTTCTTTACTTCCGTAGAAATGGTTTTGCCCACAGAGTTGCTTTGCGCTGTTGCTTCCACATCAGGGTGACCTGCTAACATGCTCTGCTACTCTGTGGGGTGTTTCTTCTTAATACCTTGTGCTTGCCAAGGCGTAAATTTGTGTTGTAAAAATAATGCAGGGAGTTGTAAAGGACCTGTAGTTTCATTAACTACTAGTGCCATCAGCAATCTGACTTGACCTTTGGGATGCTAATAACAAGAGTGAGGTTTTTTTATGTGGTTGGAGCATCAACAGTCTGGCTGTGGTCTGTCTTCACTGTTTCCAA